GTGGTGGTGGCGGTGAAGTTGGTGATGAAGGTGGTGATGAAGGTGGTGATGATGGTGGTGGCGGTGGTGGCGACGGTGGTGATGAAGGTGGTGATGGTGGTGGTGGTGGTGGTGATGTTTGTGGTGATGCTGGTGGTGCTGATGGTGGTGATGTTGGTGCTGGTGCTGGTGCTGGCGCTGGTGCTGGTAGTGATGATGGTGGTGATGATGATGTTGACGGTGGGGATGATGATGTTGATGGTGATGATGTGATGGTGGTGGTGATGGTGGTAGTGATGGCGGTGAGTGATGGCGGTGATGGTGGCGGTGATTGTGGTGATGGACTAGGCTTACCAGAATTCTAGACGCCCGCAAACCCCAGGGCACAGTACTGCGCCTGCCACAAAATTTGCACCTCAAGGTTCACACAGCCCTGCACCTGCCACGGAATCGGTACTTCAAGGTCCACATAGAACTGCGCCTGCCACGAAATCTGCGCATCAAGATTCACATCGCGCAGCCCTGCCAGGGCGAGTCGCAGCAAGAGCGCTTCCAAAGACAACATCAAGATGCCCAAGTGCAGGTTTCGCTCGAACTTCCTCCGATTTCTAAAAGTAAGCCACATGTCCACAAGTAAGGATTCATTGCGCCTGCCACGAAAACAGGGCACGTCGAAGACCACCACCCTGTCCAAAAAGTACTGCGCCTGCCACGAAATCTACACATCGACATAGAACCGCCCGGCCCACCAGATTCTGCGAGCCTATGCAGTCGAAATGCACTTCGAAGATCTCGAGGTGAATGAATGCACTGTAAATCAGCGGCGAATCTCCGATCAAGCACCCATCCTTAACCACTACCGTAAGAACCCCTAGTGCGGACACACTGTTTGGTCAACAAATTGGTAACATATATGTGTTTGGAATTAGAGAGATCACTTTGGTTCAACCTGATCCTGGTCACCTGCCCGAGTAGTTGAAGGAGCAATTCTCCTGAACTTGTCACAGGCACACCACAATTATGTGGTGACCTGTTTTGATATCATATGATATCATATATAGTAGGTGTTTGGCCCTGCGACACCAAACATCTGGATTCACCAAATACTGATAGGTCCGTTTCAATTGAATTGAACTGATTTGTAAATAACATAACTATTAACTATATGAGTATAGTATAGCAAGTATAGTTGCTGCACTTAACATATTTATATAACATTGAACTTATATTGAACTTAGCAACTACTTTGCGGGACTTATGAGTCTACTTAGGGACGAGTTAGTTTTCTTTAAAAAACAGCTTTTCTTGGCTAGCCATGTTTATTGAGATTTCCTTGTATTCCCGTCGGTGTTTATAGATGTATACACCTCCAGCCCGTGGGCGGAGGCGGAGGCGGTGCAACACAAACCGGGCGCGGCCACAGAGGGTTGTCCATTCCCGCACTGCGGGCGCAGATGCGGTTTCCCTGCGTGGGAGGTCCACGGTTGGAGTGTATGGACATTCCTGTGGGGGATGCAATATTAAATTAATCATATTTATGTGTATCTCTATATTTATATATATATAGGCAGTCCGTCGACAATACTTTATAGAATACACGCCTAGTTCCTGGCCACGTTTCCACTGTCCTTATAAATATAGGGCTAAGGTGAACACCTTTCCAAGTGCCAACCAGCACTCTTGGACAACATGTACCGCGGAAGAAGCAGGGATGCAGGGATCGTTTTTTCTAGCGCGCCGCGTAGTTCCAAAATACGTGCATGAAATACATGTGTTCCTTTCCAAAACATTGACATTTCAAGAATATTACATAAAAAGTCCGTTCGACTGAGCGGCTACTTAACATACTTAACGTGAACCGTGAACTTATGTTGAACTTATGTTGTACTTACTGAGTCAACATGAGTCATACGCTAACTAGCACAAATCGAAACGGACCTATGTTAATAGGCACCTTCACTGAAACATAATCTTGCTGCAGAGTGTTTGTTTGCCACGCCACCATGGAGATTTCATTGTCAATTGTTTGCGTTGGCGCCCCACAATTGATTTGCAAAATCAAGAAATATGAATGCGGCAAGCGACCGTTGTCATCATCCTCTAATTTAAAATCTCATGACATGTTTCTCAAATTATATAACTCATGTTGTTTGCATTCGTTTGCTTTGCTCTATTCAAAGAAGTCTTTGAGTCTTTTCTTGACATGTTTCCGCACACGGCTATTGAAGCGACCAGCTGATCCATGTGCCCCGACTTTGCCACCTGCCGCAGCTCTGCAGGTGTCATGTTCTCGAAACGAACAAGTTGCAGCAACTCCTTGCGACCAGAATGAATGGTCGGTTGAAGCGGGGCGGGCGTTCTTTTCCAAATGAAGATGAAGCACCAAAACCTGTAGTGAAGTTCCATCATGTCGATACGAAAAGCAAACACACAGACACACAAAGTTTCCCTTGTTCTCAGCAAACTGTGGTCCCACCGATTTCAACTGTGCCCAAGAATCCAACTTTTGCCTCCTTGCACTGGTTGACCCAAATGCTGACGTCACTTATTGCATCGAATCATTGTATGATGACAAGGGGCGCCTCACGTTCCAGGCGCTTGGTAGCTGCAGAGGTACGTAGGTTTCATGGCTTTGCAGAGGCAACAAAAAGTAAGTGCTACGGGATGTTGGGGGTAGTGGCGTTGAACCCGGCCTTGCATAGGAATCAGTCGCGCCACGACCACAAGCGATGTCGCTCGAACGGAAACCCCTCCTCTGGCACACCAGCAGCTGCTGCAGCTGGCCTGCATGTTGTCACAACAGTGCACCCAACAACATGAAGCAAGCGCTGGCCCGCCACGAGCGAATCACTGGCAAGGGAACACTTGGAGCAAGCAAAGCTGCAGAGGCAAGAGTTCGCAGTCGGCACTAGAGGGCGCGCTCCGCGCAGCTCGTTGGATTGATATGGGTGGCTTGATGGCGGGCAATGGAAGCTGTTCATATGATGTCTGTTCGACGGAGCATGTTTACAAATGCAGAAGCTGGCGTACATGCTGCTCAACTTGGATACTGTATTTTGCCGCCTGTATGATCCTACCAGAGCTTCATAGATTGGGGCGACCACCGATCTCCTGCAAATGGAGCCATGATGGCACTTGATTGATGGACCGGTGGATGGTGTGAGTTGCTATGCCTCTGGAGTTGGTGTGGGCCTCCAGGTCCATACCCCTGGTGTGGAGATTGTTTGCCCGGACAGGGCTCATAGTGCACCTGTACTTGCACCTGTGCATCCTCTTTTCCGAGAACACAGCATCACCTGAGGTGGCCGCTCTGTTTTTCTGGGGACTTTGCAGCACTTGGCTGGAGAGACCGACCTGATGCATGACCTGAGTGGACAACGAAAATTGCCTCATCAAGCTTCCTGCCTTCAACTCTATTGTGAACAAAGGCCTGCTTGCCTTTCGCAATCAAAGTAGAAGTGCACCCGAAGCTCAGCATTTAAAGGCAAAAAAAAAACTGCCATGCACACCACTAAGTACGTAGTACTATGCAAACCCTCGGGTGTAATGGTGACCTGGCAAATGATCCCTGATGTAGATGTCAGATGTACAAACACCATTACCTACGCCAAATCGTTGACGCCAAACATGTCTCACACAGAAGCTGCGGGCCGTTGTTGGATGTCCAACGGAAACCCTGGCCGAAGCCCAACACAACATCGCAAGTGTGAAACAGGACGGATCCAAGTTCTCCAATCTGTTGCTGCCCACGGATTGAAAGGACATTTGAGGGTTTCTCCCTTCTCCAACACCCCAACGCCCGAAGGGCAGGGCGCTCCGCAGGTCTTGCCCAGCCCCTGGTGAAGGGTACCAGGGAAGCTGGTTGATCCCTGCTGACGAGTGGTGTCGCACGTCGGGGCCCTTTCCCGAGACACACGAGTCGTCCAGGTAGACGAGCAAAACAAGTCGTCCTGCGCAGCCTTTCATTCACTGGTGGTGGGCGACAAAGGAAAGCCTTCTTAGCTTGTGTCTATTTGTGAACTTATCACATGTCCTTCTTAAACAATTGGGCCGATTTGTTGCATTCCCTGCTCTGTCAAAATTCGATAAGCGATGATCCTGCCAGCCCTCTGACCTGCCAGCTGGCAGCTCGCCACCTGCCATCGTTGGAGACGTGGGTTGCGGGTTGCTGAGACTATCTCTAATTGCGCATCTAAAAAGACCACTATTAGTGCAAAGTAAACGGTATGCCCTGAACGGTTCAGGGCCAGCCTGCAAGTATGGAAATCAGTCGAAGGTTGTTTCATGACAACAGGGGGCCCTCTCCTAGCTCGTAATGGTCAAATAGTTGGAGCAATGGAGGCATGCTTTGCATCATGGACGCATGCCTTCATTGAATCATGTTTGGTACGTTTTCTGTTCAAATGGTTGGCAACCAGGAGGTACCAGCGCAGTCATAAGTCAATCGACCCAGCTCATCGTTTTCCTTTCACCGATCGTGCTGGCAAACCACCTGACTTATGTTGTGTTTTTGTGGGCTTCCACTAGGAAAGGCCCATCTTGAAAAAAAAAGCGATCTAAATTGAATCTACTGTAAATCCAAAAGAAAAGCAAACCAAAAGTGCAAGGAAAAAGGACCTAGGTTGACGCAAGCCAAAAAAGAAACAAACAAAAAAGTATATCGCTATATATATATATAGACTGATCCATTGCTGCAAAAAGGAAAGCACAACATGACTTTCCTAACGGTCATTCCCCTTCTATTGAACAGCCAGTTGTTCTGTTGGTAGGGTTGATTGCTTTTTGCAATTTGCTGGGCAGTGTGTCTTGCTTGCATTTTTCCTTTGGGTTGATTTTGCATTTTTCTTGCTTGTTTTCCAAGTTTTTTTGAACCTAGCGCAAGCCCAAAAGCACTTCATAACACATTATCATTGCATGGTAAATGCAGAGTTAATGTATAATTATCCGAAACTAAAGCCCTCAAAACTTGATTAGATCATATTAGATCTCTAAAATCACAACATGCGCAGCTTCACACCATTTCACACCAACGTTTCCACTCGCATCCTCTTGAAGCTTTGAAAGGACTCCAGCAAATGAGCAATATCCAAATGGCCGTTCTCAGCTGCCAGTTGGGAGGCTGTAACCCCATCCTTCCGTGCACGAGTTCCACAAGCGCCGAAGTTCAACAAGACCTGCACCACTTCCAGCTGGCCCTCAGAGGCTGAGGCATGCAGGGGCGTCATGCCATCGTCATCTGCACGGTTCACCTCTGCACCTCACGGCTCACCGAACGGAAGAACGGGCGGAAGGAGGGCGGTCCGTGGCGTTTTTGTGAAAGGAAAAACCAGATGGACAAGAAGAGACACAAGATGGATATATGAGGATCCCATGTTGATCTTGTGTCTCAACCAGGGACATGGAAGAACGGTTCCAAAGATGTTCATCGTGTCTCTACTTTCCATGTTGGCACCCCCCATCAGCCAACCTCCCAACCAAAATCGCCCCTTAATCAGTCAGGCACCAGCTTCGAGCAGCAGCTTTACCACTTCCGACTGACCCTTCTGAGCTGCCAAGTACAAAGGTGTTGCGCCATCATCAGTCATGGGGGCATCCTTGTCCGACCCTGCTTGCAGCAACAAACGAACCAGCTCCAAATAGCCTTCATATGCGCAGGCATGCAAAGGGATGGTGCCGTCATCTGTTCGAGCTTTGTCCTTTTGAGCTCCTGATTCCAGCAAAAGGCGGGCAACTTCCAAGTGGCCATTCTGAGCTGCCAAATGTAAAGCGGTTGCACCATCATCGGTCATTGTCTTGTCTTTGTCAGCACCCGCTTGCAGCAATAGGCCCACAATCTCTAGGTGGCCTTCATACGCCGCAGCATGCAATGGAGAAGTGCCATCATCTGTCCTGGCTTTGTCCTTGTCAGCGCCTGCAGCAAGTAACAAGCGCGTGATCTCCAGATGTCCTTGGGACCGGGCCGCACTGGGCCGAACAACCGCCGTTCGTCATCGACTCAGGGACCATGAACATCCAAACAAAACAGTGATACGTTTAAACGTGTTATCAATGAGATCCAATGAGTATATCGTGCGTCTCCGTGTAGCATCTGGAGTTTTTTAGGCCTGCCATCCTCTGACCTTGGGGCTTCCCCAAAGCAGACCTGTACACATTTCCACCAGGTGAATCAGTCTCTGCTTGGAAATGATCAAATGATCCCCTTTCCTCCTATATTCTCGCAGTACACCCAGAAAAGCAATATGCACAAATCATGAGCATTGATTGGGACTCGGACAAACACTGATGTCCAACTTGATTGACAACGCAAACCTTCAGCAACTAAATCCGACCGCTTCCGACCGCTCCAGGCGTCCATTTTGTGCCGCAAAGACCAAGGCCGTGGCGCCGTCGTCGCTCCTGGCCTTGTCGACTTGCGCTTGCAGTTCCAGTAGAAGGTGAGTGACTTCCAAATGGCCTAGGGGCGCGCTTCTACTAGGGTGGAGGCCATCGCTACTGGGGTGGAGGCCATCCCTACTAGGGTGGAGGCCATCACTACTAGGGTGGAGGCCATCGCTACTAGGGTGGAGGCCATCACTACTAGGGTGGAGGCCATCGCTACTAGGGTGGAGGCCATC